TCGAGCTCAGGGAGGTCGATTCCCGCAGCCAGTCCTACACCCTGGTCAGCAAGCTGTCCCTCCCGGGCGACGGCAACAAGGGGCTGCCCAAGACCGGCCTCCTGATGGCGCTCCTGGGCGTGATCTTCATGAAGGGCAACCGCGCCACCGAGGAGGAGGTCTGGGAGTTCCTCAACGTGCTGGGCGTCCAGGACGGCAGGAGCCACCTGATCTTCGGCGAGCCCCGGAAGCTCATCACCCAAGACCTGGTGCACCAGGGCTACCTGGAGTACCGCGCGGTGCCCGCCAGCGACCCTCCGCGCCACGAGTTCCTGTGGGGCCCGCGCGCCCGCGCGGAGACCAGCAAGATGCAGGTGCTGCAGGTCCTGGCCAAGATCAACGACACCGTGCCCAGCTGCTTCCCCGAGCTGTACGAGGAGGCGCTGCAAGAGCAGAAGGAGCGCGCGGCGGCCCGTGGCTGGCGCCGCGTCTAGTCAGTCAGCGGGGGCGGCTGCTTTTCCTTGCGGTGGGTGGGAGAGGGCAGTCGACCTTCCAGGTAGTGCAGAGTCCTAGGGGTTGGAGGGAACAAAGCACAGATCTTCTTCCTATTTGTTCGAAACGGTTAGCTTCTATAAACGCATACGCAGTTATATTTATTTAGGTGTTTTCAAACGTTTTTTCTCCTAATAGCGCATTTAGTTCTAGAATATAAACTTAAGAATGACGGGGCTCTCATTTATCGCTGTTTCACAAAGGAGAGTTACAGTTTTGGTACATGAAAAAGAAAGTCACAGACCATCTATATTGTATTCGTGATCCAACAGCAGATAACATGGCACTGTGCGTTTTTTTCCCTGTTGCACATAAGTAATTTGTAGGTCTATTTTTTTCTTTAAGTTTTCGGATGTTGTTCATTTTAATTGAAGATTTTGCTTCTGAATCTAAGTTTATTAATGCTATGGATAACACATATATTACTATTCAGGTTTAAGATTAAGAGTTTTGTTTTTTGTAAACAAGCTGAAAAACCTTTAATATTTTCTTTTTGCTACAGAGCAAAGTAACATGGCACTAGAATAGGGTTTTTCATGGGAATGTGAAAGAACCTCATAGGAAGATGTTTGGGATCAGAAAGAGTGACACAAAAGTAAAGGGTAGTTAACTCATTGCCTTATTCTCTGTCTTTGCTTTTAAAATCAAACAATATATACCTGGATATTCGTGGCTAATTCAAAATGTATGAGAAAATAAATAAATTAAACTTCTTGCTCATTCCCTCTTTTCCTCTAGCATTAATTGAGCATCTGCTCTTTGGAAAGCTCCCTAATAGCACCGGGGATAGTAAGAAAAATAAGACTGAACCACTGCACACAGAATTGTAGACTTTAGCAGTAGTTACCATACAATGAGGATAGTAAGATACATTCTAAGAAATAAATAAATGACAAGTAAAAAAGAGGTGCATAAGGGGAGGTCCTAATGAGAACAGTCTAGTGTAAATTACTTGATCAAGGCTGTGTTGGCCTAGGTAAAAATGCCAGTCCCTGGGGGGGGGGGGGGGGCGTCTTTTTAAGCTAGGCTGTGCAGTGGGCTGGATGTGGCTGTGGGAGCACTGGGCAGGGAGGGACCAGGTCCTCAGTTCGTGGTTCTGAGTTGAGAGACTAGGCCTAGAACAGAAAACAGATTTTCACAGTTACTTTGGGAACGTGAGAAAACCAGTGACAGTCCCTGGCTGGGGCCTGCATGGAAGAGGTGCTCTGTGCTTTTCCGGGCTCAAGCTCAGGGAGGTCGATGCAGGTTACACAGCGCACTGATGTGTTCTCGGCATAGAATATCCAGAGAATTTCTGAGTGATAAGGGTAATACTCCACTGAAGTGAGATTCCAAGAAGCCCCTGGACTTTACCAGTTATCACGGGATAGGTAAGACTCACTCCATTAAAAGGGCATTTTAACGAAGTTATTTTGAGTGTAATTTGTCAAACTCTTAAGGGAGGGCTCGAATTTTGGTGGCGATAAAATGAATGAAAATAGGGGGTGGTTTGGATGGAAATGGACCCAGGAGGGAAGTTGTTGATCCTTGACACCAATAGGAACTTTTAGTTGCATCCAACTGGAGAAGACAATCCCATACCCATATTCAACAACAGATGCTCTGATGGAGAAATACTATTGCATTTTATTTGCCCAGCAGCATTTCAGTGGATTTGGATTTCTATATTGTTTGGAGTTGCATATTCTCTAATTCAAGCTGGAAATTAAATTCTGTGGGGAAACAGTGTTACCATCTGGGGTCAAAATCATCTTAGTAATAACTGCCATTCATTAAAAGTACCGAACTTAGGGGCACCTAGGTGGCTGTTGGTTAAGCATCTGACGTCAGCTCAGGTCATGATCTCAGGGTCGTGGGATTGAGCCCTGCGTCAGGCTCCACACTCAGCCAGGTGTCTACTTGTCCCTCTCCCTCTCCCTCTGACCGTCCCCCTGCCCATGCTCTCTCTTTCAAATAAAATCTTTAAAAAAACAAACAAACAAACAAAAATAAAAGCACCGAACTTTGCCTAACAGTGTGCCAGGTTGATTACACACATGTATGTCTATAGTCCTACATGATAAACATTATCAGACTCACTTTTCAGCTAAAGAAGTTAGAATACTCTCAAATTCCAGGCCGCCCAGTGACTGTGCTGGCCTAGACCCTGGCTCTGAATTCCTCTAGAGCCCACACTGCCACTCTTCCCAGGCCAAGGCACACCTGTGTCACTTACTTCTTTTTTCTGCTATTCCAAAATGTATTTCCAGTGTTAAAAAGCACAACTTCATACCCAAAATACAGTTCTGGAATACACAGCCTGAGGAACAAGCAATAAAAATAGCACAGTATGAATAAAGGAAGAGACAGTATGCAATGATAATTACATTATCAACAGAGGAAATTCAGGAAACCTCAAAAGATCAGGGACTCAGCATCATGTGGCTCAGTCCCTTCACAGTGGAAAGTAAATCTTTTAGAAGTGCCGCTATGTAAGAGGCTAAGTCTGTGAAGAGAAGGAAGAGATCAGCTTGCTTTCTGTGACAGCACACCGCCCACCATGGGCCCCCATCTTCCCTATAGCTTCTTCATCTCATGTCACTCCTGGCAATCAACCCATTCCCTACCAGCTTTGCAGTAGGGAGACTAAGCAAGAGTTTGGAAGGATGAGGTATTTCTCAGGAAGCCTTTCAAAGAAGAGACAGGAGTCAATATGAAAATTCTGATGAACGAGGACTAAGGAGGCAAACCCCCCACAATAACAAGAATCACAGGAAAACTGGCCGGTGACCTCTTGGCAGAGCTGCCAAGAGAAGCATTCCAGCACTTATTTGGGGGGTTCTCAGGTCCATGAGAACTCTGGGCTACATGGGTGATCTTAGGTTGAAAGAAAGTGGAAACCCCAGGCCTGCTGAAGTTACTCCTGCCTGTGATATGATATCAGGTATGATATCAGGTACGATATCCAGGATTCAGGCTTCTTGGGGCCCTCTCTGATCCAGGTGGGGGGTTGCCCCTAGTCTTCACTTTCCAGGTATGATATCAGGATTCAGGCTTCTTGGGGCCCTCTCTGATCCAGGTGGGGGGTTGCCCCTAGTCTTCACTTAGGATCTTTACCTTGACTCCTAGCAGTCCCTGGGCTGGCCTGCCTTGGCCTCCTAGGTCTGAGAGGGGTCACCGGCCAGTCTTCCCATGATTCTAGTTTATGAGGTTCCCGTGGTGTAAGGGAAAGGACCTCAGGCAAGCAAAGGAAGGAGTCTCAGGTCCTCCCAGTAATCAAAGGGAGGGTCCTGAGTGAGAAGTTAGGGAAACCTTTTCCCTCAGAACTGAGAGAATCACACAGAACCCTGCCTTTGCTGTAAGCGCTTGGATACCTGGGCATTGTTGACATAGTGTGACATATTCACTTCCTCCTATGGTGTCACAAGGTGGTGAGAGACTTTGTCTAAGGGGTGTGGCTTAAGCAGCAGCAGTGGAAAGATTTCTTGGTTCTTCCACAGGCCAAGGTGAATACCCTGAGGACTAAAGGAGCCACATACCCCGAACAGCAGGAGCACGAAAGCATTAGTTTCTTATAAGCCTCCAGCTTCAGGAGACCAAGGACAGCTGTGGTCAGATAAGGAGATCCTCACTTCCTTCTAGGGGTCTCAGGGTGGTGCAAACCTTGATATGAGGGGCAGGCCTAAGGGTAAGGGAGGGAGGAATTCCAGATCATGAAAAGGGTCGGGGATCAAAGCAAGGACCAAGGGACTACCCACCACTAAATAGAAAGGGTAACCAAGAATCTTGCTCTGCCCCTGGTTTCAGCCCAAAGATCCAGGGCCAGGCTATCAAGTAAAAACTCCCCCAATACTTATTTCTATCAGATTTACAGGGAATGAAATCCTTAGTTTGAAGGTGCAGCTACCATGTAGTGAAAGGGGTGGAGGTGCCAGGCCCTATACAGATCCTAAGTAAGGACTCTTAATGAGGACTGAGGACCCCAAAGAGGCCAGGATAGAAAACTCCCCACTGAACATTCAGACCTAGACAAGAATTATAAGCTGAGGACCCCTTTCACTTCCTTATTGTGGGTGCCAGGGAGGCTTGTGATGTCAGTCTCAGGAGAACAGAGGAAAAAAATCCATGACCTGCCACTAGTTGAATGATGGTCTTGCGTAAGAGACTCCTCAACCACAAGACCGGCAACCCCTGCTGTCACCCCAGTATGCCTGAGGCAGGTCTGGTAGGAAGCAGCCTAAACCTCACTCTACTTTCCTTCACAGGTTTCCCAAAGGACAGGCTGATTAGGAGAACAGGAGTCCTGTGGGTTTTTAGAGAAGTGCCCTTGAGGAAAACTGCAAATGTAGCCTTCCTTATACGCCACCAGCCAGGGTGGCATTTTCACACTGAAGGTGCACACACCCGTTAACCTTCCTCTTCCTCCAGTGGGCCCTCATCACCTGCTCTCCCACTCACACTCCTGACCATTGTCCCTGATCATACTCATTATGCCTCGGGGTCAGAAGAGTAAGCACCGCACTCGTGAGAAACGCCACCAGTCTCGTGGTGACTCCCAGAGTCACAGGAGAGTTCAGGCCCCAGTAGCATTGGAAGAGTCCCCCACCTCCTCTTCTCCTGTTTTGGAGGGTAGTACTCAGAGTTTATCAGCTACTGAGTCACCTTACACCTCCCAAGAGTCTTGGGGCGCCCCATCTACCACCATTACCTCTTCAGATATCTCTGGTACAAGATCTGATGAAGGTGAGAACAGCCAAGATGAGGAACATCTATGTTTCTCTGATGTCTTACCTTCTACTGAGAGCTCATGCATTGATATTCTAACTATGAAGGTGGGTTTGTTGGAACAGTTTATTCTGTACAAATATAAAATGAAACAGCCCATTATGAAGGAAGACATGCTGAAGATTATTGGCCAAAATTACAAAAACCAATATCCTGAGATCCTTAAGAGAGCCTCTGAACGCATTGAGGTTGTCTTTGCAGTCAACTTGAAAGAAATCGACTCAACCAGCCACTCTTATGACCTCATCAGCAAAGTGAAACTCCCTAACAATGGGAGGGTGCGTGCTGGCAGGGGGTTACCCAAGACTGGTCTCCTGATGACAGTCCTGGGTGTGATCTTCATGAAGGGCAACCGTGCTGCTGAGGAAGACCTCTGGAAATTCCTGGGTATGATGCGAGTATTTGCTGGGAGGAAGCATTTCATCTATGGAGAGCCTAGGAAGCTCATCACCAAAGACTTAGTGAGGCTAAAGTACCTGGAGTACTGCCAAGTACCCAACAGTGAACCTCCACGCTATGAGTTCCTGTGGGGTCCTAAAGCCCAAGCTGAAACCAGCAAGATGAAAGTCCTAGAATTTTTGGCCAAAGTCAATGATACGGTTCCCAGTGCCTTCTCATCAAAATATGAAGAAGCTTTGAGAGATGAGGAAGCAAGAGCCCGAGCCAAATCTACAGCCAGTGGGAATTACAGGGGCACATCCAGCAGCCTCTCCCACCCCTACTGAAATCTGAGGCTTTTTAAAAAATCATCTAAATAAGAAAATACGACATCACAATAGGGATTTTCATGGAAATGTGGACGATTCCCACAGTAAATTTACTGTGATAATGGAATATAAAAAAATAATAAAACATGATCAACTTTAGTGTTCTTTACTCCTTTGTCTTTTGTTTTATAAAATTAAAGGATTTATACTTCAATACGCTTAATTTAATAAAGAATTTAGGAGATATTAAATCATAACAAGTTAGACCTCATACTCTCTCTTTTATTCCCCAAATGTCTACTGAGGAATCTGCTTTATGGAAGGCTCCATGCTAGGCATGGGGATGCTAAGATAAAGACCTAGCCTTTCCTATAGAACTTTAGAAACTAGAAGCTATGATCATAAGGAAGATACTGAGATACCCTCTATGTCTTATAAGAAAGTTAAAAAAAGAAAAACAGAGTGAGAAGGGAGGTGTCCTAGGGCAGAGCAGCATGTATATTCCCTGAAACAAGGCAGTTTAAGTTTTGGGATATTGCAGGTCATCTGTGTGATGTTATTTCAAATTAAACTACATGATGGACTAGACTGAGGTTATGGGAATGGTGATCAGAGGCCATACCCTAAGATGACGCATCTCAGAGATGAGAGAAAAGAAAAATCTTTAAATGGAAAACTACACTGTGCTGCAAGGTCTAAAATTAAGGTTCAATATTATGGGCTCCTTGACATTTAGTGAAACCGACAGGGCCTCAAATTGCCTAAATGAAAGTTCCCCTCCATACTGTGCACTTGCAGATAAGGTTCACTATCAAACAACCATCTCCATCAAGGGGACAAGGCACATACCTTGCTTATTCCTAAGTAGCAAATTTCTGTTCCCTATCAGCTTGCAGAATTATTCAAAGAAGCTGATTACAAGGTACCATGGGAAATAAGGTCACCTCAACCTCTTGACACCAAACCCTGCCTCCCACAGATGTGCTCATTCATTGTGTTCCTGGGTGTAACCCTCGTGTTGTACTATGTAGCACGTGGTGCCCTTCTCCCCCAGCCAGGTGAGTACACATGATTAATAACCAGTTGTCTGCCTTATCTTTACAGTGTCAGGTGGTGCATGTTTGAAGTCTACATAACCATAGCGTGGAAGTTCCTTCCTCATCTCATGGGGTAAAAAGGAGGCCATTAAAACAAACTCTTATAAATTACTTTGGCATCATAGATAATCCAGAAAGAACTCTCTACCTGGGGCAGTGTATTAACCTGTTAGGAATGCCCTAACAAAATAACACAGACTGGGTGGTTTAAAACCAAATTCATTTTCTCATAATTCTGGAGGCTGGAAGTCCAATGTCTTCCAGCCTGATTGCTTTCCTCTGAGGCTCCTCTCCTTGGCTCCCATATGGCCACCCACTTTATTTGGTTGTCCTTTTGTGTGCATGAATTTCTGGTATCTCTTTGTGGGTCCTAGTCTTTTTTTTGTAAGGACACCAGTCAGACTGGGTTATGGCCCACCCAAATGGCCTAATTTTAATTTAACCATCTCTTTTATGACCTCATCTTCAACTATAGTCATGTTCTGAGGTACGGGGGGGGGGGTGTCATGGCTTCAACATGTATTTTGGGGGGACACAATTCAGCCCGAAAAGACAAGAATCAAAGGTGTCTTTGTTACTGTCTCAGTAAAGAAGAATATAGTGCACAAATAGGCATTCTAAACACAATGACTCCAGGGAGTTTAGAGACAAAAGGGTGAACTCCCTTGAGGTGACACACACAGAAGCCACTGTACTGACACTTTTTTGCTTTGAACTGGTGAAGTCAGAGTCCACTGCATTAAAAGAGCATTTTAATTAGATTATCTTGACTATATTTTGGCAAATTCTAAGAGAAGATTAGATTTTGGTGGGGAGGAAACAAATGAAAACAGAGGTGATTTGAATGCAAGGACAACTGGGAAGAACTTAAAGAGTGGGTCCTTGACAAAATGCAAGGAGTTCTAAGTTGCATCCAGGTGGGGAAAGAAAAACCACATACCAAAATTAAATAATAAATACTCTAATAGGGCAGAGATACTTAATTGTACTTGCTAAAGTGAATTTTTGGCTGATTTGATGTTCTTTTGTCTAGGAGTATTACATTTCCGAGGACATATCCTGGATTTAAAAAAACATTCCTCCATAGGAGGATGATATTATCTAGGTAAAAATCATCCTAACTGCCTTTCATTAAATGCTCAGTATTTGCCAGTCATCTTGATGGATGCTTTATATACAGTACCTACATTCCCACAGTCTTACAATATAGTTTACCAAACTGTAAGTGTCAGAGCTAGACTATACCCCTAGTGTGAATTCATCCAGGGCATATAGTAGCCTACCGCTCCCACCCTGAAGTAGACCTTGTGAACCTTTATTCACTTTTCTTGTCGCTACTCCAAAATATATCTCAGATTAGGAAAAAAAAAAAAAAAAAAAAAAAGGAATATGGCCAGAGCAATAAGAATACCAAAATAAATGAGACGTATGAATATATAGGATATAATATCTGCTAACAATATGTAGTGTTGCTTAACTTCAAAAAATGGCGGCCTCATGAAATTATCTGCCTCAGCCTGTTTCCTATGGCAAGTACTTTAGAACAGAAGTTACCTAAGAAGCCAAGTCTGGGTAGTAAAGAGAAGGAATATATCAGCGTGGTTTTTTACTCTGATATTCCACCTCCCAAGCTAAGTCTCTAAATTGTTTTTCACCTTCCCGATCTCGTATCAGTCCTGGGACACAGACTCATCCTCTGTAAGATTTGCACGAGAGAGATTACTCAAGAGTTTGCAGGGATGTGGCATTGCTCTGAAAGCCTTTCATTAAAGAGACAGGAGCCAAGATGAGGACCGTATGAATGAAGACTGACGAAAGCAACATTCAGTCACATCGGCAGTCACGCTGCGACCACCCCTCCCCAGCTCTTACATCTATACTGTCAGACTGAAGACTCTGTAAGAATGTGATGTCATCTGCAAGGATGTGAGGGCCTCGTAAATGTGGTGGTGGAGAGAAGGGCCCAAGGTCCTACGTGAGTGTAACTGACAATCCTGTATGAAACTGAGGGTGTTCTCCACCCCAGAACAGAGGGGGCACCAGAGATCCCACCCCTGCTGCCAGCCTTGAGAGGCGCTGTCGTTGGTGACAGGAAGAACAGCCCTCACTTCCTCTTGGGGCGTCTAAGGAAGGTGCGAGACTTTGCAATCGGCGCCCGCCTCAGGGCAGGTGAGGGAGAAATCTTCCAGACCCAAGCACAAGGTGAGAAACCTGATTGAGTAATGAGAGAACACCCTTGTCCCCCCAAAGTGCTTCCCTTGTTCCTTCCGAGGCCCCGCTCCTACTCTCGGTTCTAGGCCCTTCCCTTCCCCCTCTCCTCCCCCTTCCTCCCCTTCCTCCCCATCCCCCCACGCACGCGTGAGCACACGCACCTGGCAGAGCCGTCACTCAGGGGTAGATTTCTGCCTGGAGGGTTGCAAGAAGGTGCAGGCTTTGGTGGGAGGCGCCAGTTCAGCGGAGAGGAGGGGAAGACCCTAACGAGAATCAAGGTGAGGAAACTTAAATAAAAATTCTGACCAGAGCCATGCTAGTGGCTCCCGGGGAAAAGAAACATGGCGGTCAGGTGGGCGTGAGATTTCCCTCAATGTTTGAAGGATCAGGAAGCTGAAGGTCTTGATCTCAGGGGAAGGGTACCATTCCCTGAAGGAAATCAAGGATGTGGAAATCCGAGTTAGGTCTGAAGGGGCCAATAATCCTAGAACAGTGAGGTGGTATAGAATTCGCCGTGGCCATCAATCCGGGGGAGCTCTGGGGTAGGGCCGTCGGGCTTACCTCAGCAAGGAAGGACTCGGGGATGAGAGAGCCTTGATCTGAGGGCAAGGGCCTTAAGTTAGCAAATGCAAGCATTCAGCTGGGAATCAGGGTAAGGACTCTGTGAGGACTGAAGGAATCTCTGTCCTGGTGATATATTGACTGACACTCATTTTTTCCCTCTGTGTCATGTGAGAGTTGTGGGGGAGGAGAGTGTGTGTTGTGAGGGGGAGGCGGGTGAGAGATTTTGTTTAAAAGGGACTGTTTGCCCTCTGCAGTAGGAGGATTTCTAGATCTTTCCAAGAGTTAATGTGAGGACCATGACGTCTGAATGGAACAACCACAATGAGAGTACAAGAGAAACCATCCCCAAGTCTTAGCCTTGGAGAACAATGGGCAGGGGGGACAACTCCCATATTCTCCCAGGTGGTATAAGGAGATGTTGGCAGGGAGAGAAGAGTCCCAGGCTGCGAGGGGCCAAAGAAAAGATGGAAGGGACCACTGAACATGGAAAGATAACAAAAAATCAAATTCCTATCTTTGCATTCAGAACTCGAGTTCTGAGCCTCACCCTCACTTATTTTTATCAAATCTGAGAGAGGAGAGATCTTTAGTGTGAGGGTACAATCACCAATGAGCAGAAGGGAGGTGTGCCAGGCACTATCTGGAGGCCAAGTGAGTACCCTGAATGAGAAATAAGGACCAAAACAACCCATGAAGGAGAGGGCCCCACCTAGCTCTCAGTTGGGTGCCCCTGACAGGGATAGGGAGTAAGGAACTATTACTTTACTTCTTCCTCTGGGGTCTCTGGCTTTGGTTTGAGGTATTGACTTCACAGCAATAGAATAGAGGCAGCCCAGGACCTGCGGAGAGTTGACAAGATGATCTTGAAGTTGAACTGAGAAGACCCCTGCAGCCCAGAACAGAGGTTCGCCACTGGCAGCCTCTGATGTCACCCCAATACACCCCAGACAGGGCTGGCAGACAGCTGTCTAAGGTTCTCTTTAACTTCCTCTATAGGGTTCTCAGGTGACAGGCTGATTGGAACAGGAACCTTGTGGGTTCTTGGAGCAGTGACCTCAAGCAAACCTGCAGAGGCAGGCTTGGTTTAAAGCCAAGGTGGAATCTTCCTACTGAAGGTGCTCACATCATCTCATTCTTTTTCCTCCA